TACATTCATATTTTTAATGAAAGTTGCAATGTCAATCAATATTCTACCATTTTTGTATTATGAAAGAATGAATGAACGATTCTGCCGGTTTCGATTTCTGAACTACGGCGCTGGATTGCGCCACAATGGCGCTGATCCGCGCCACTTCACTGGAAATTCTACGAGACCACTGCGCGGGATCGCGCTGGAACGACTCTAACCCGCGCCAATTCTCTGGTCCTTGTACTGACAAAATGTGTCACTGTCACATGTTTATTTCATTTTTATGAATTATTGGAAAACATGAAAGGACATTGATATATATATATATATATATATGAAAGTTGGACAAAGTTTTGGAATTAAATATAGTAGATTTGTTAGTCACCAAAGTGGCCAAATCTTGAAGAGCTATTTTAATTTCAAATATTATGATTCTGTTTCAATTACCATGACTGTGATGCTATGAATAGTATGAAATAATTGTTCATGTTGTGGTATATTGAAGTTCATTATTATAGGACAGTTAGGGATCAACCCGAAAGATGATTATTTATTTTATAGTAAATGAACATGGACGTTGGTATTGTTGGTATACTTCCTTGCATTTGGACATCCAAAGATGAAAAATATTTCTGATAGGGGTATGCATCATTGCCAAAATTATGTGAAACTTTTATAGCATCATTATGGTTAGTGTGTATGTTAATGGATCCCCAAAGGTGAACATTAATATGCATTGAAGTTAGTATATTTGAATCTGTGAAGTACGTTAGTATGTGATATGTATGACTCAAAGTATTAATGTTTTAAATGTTATTCCTCGCAGTACCTGTTGCTACACATTCAATGTTCTCAACTGTTGCAGTTTTTAATTGGCTGAACTTCTCTGAATGGAAAGAGCAAATCCAATTTTACCTTGGGGTAATGGATATGGATATGGCTCTTAGAGAAAAGATACCTGGTGCTGTTACTCCTGAAAGCACTAAGGATGAAAAGAACCATTTTAAGAACTGGGAAAGATCCAACAGATTAAGTCTGATGTACATGAAAATGAGCATTGCAAGCAACATTAAGTCAGCTCTTCCACAAACTGAAAGTGCCATAGAAATGATGAGACTTGTGGAAGAACGCTCCCAAACTACTGATGAGTCTCTTGCTGGGACACTTATGAGTACAGTGACCACCATGAAATTTGATGGTTCGCATACTATGCATGAGCATGTTATTGATATGACAAGCATTGCGGCAAAATTGAAATCATTGTAAAGAATATATTGTTTATTGATTTGTTTGTCGTTGGCAAGATATTGTTGGTGGAATTGTTTGTGACATGTGGAACAAAGAAAAAAAGGCTTTGGAAGCTTAACATCAAAAGATAAACTTTTAGACCTTGGGATTAGTCCCACTTATTTTTCCACCATGCTCTTTTGGAATAATGATTATTGTGTTAGATGATTGGTTGATTGTTGGTTGTATGTCATAGTTGCATTCATATAGAGTTTTTGTTCATTGGTACACGAACCAATGAACAAGCAATTTAGGCTAGATTGCATGGTTAGTGTACGGACTAATGTACAATTGAATATTAATTGGATGAATTGATTGTTTAGTAATTTGGCACATTTAACATGTGTATAGACTTCCCTTGCGAATTTATCCTAAGAGGTATGGCTCTTGAAAGTTTCATACCGATACTAGCTTTGAGGTACGACTTATTGGAGTTGTCCTAGTGTACTACGTATATAAGTTAAATCAATTCTATGATGCCTCTATTCATATGTTGCTATTATACCATGTGTACTAACCCTTCATATGGGAAAAAGAACTTAAGGATGGAGTGATCCTCCAAGGACCCTTAGTTTACTGATATTTATATCTTACCTCGTTTGTGGATTATGTTTCAGGTATTCCATGGGGAGGAGCTAGTACTTTCAAGGGAAAAGAGCCCATATAAGCCATGAGAGCTTCAATTTGATGACTCAACATATTTTAGGGATGAAATACTTTATAGGACTATTTTTGAGTTATGTAATTGAACATAAACATGAATGTATTGTAAATGTGGTCCCAACTGATATAATTGTAAATAAGGAGCCAAGTGTAGCAAGGTAATGATGTTTTGGTCATAAACATGTTTCAGTTAGTGCTCTTGTGATGCATTTGTTGGCTTAAAGCCAAAGATATTAGTTTTGCATAATGATCTTGTTATGAATGATACATTGAATTAGAACATAGGTATAAGATGTATATAATGTATAGATGATGGCTTGATGCCTTTTTGCTGAATCCATTAATGGATCTCTTAGAAATGAGTGTATGTAGTGTTGGATTTCATCTATGTACTTGGCTATGGTCAATTAGATGGTGAAAGTTGAATTGAGGACCAAGGATAGGGTCTAGGGACAAAAAATAACCTTATGTTTCTGCCTCAACATGCTAAAACACATTATATGGGCATTTTAGCATGCTATGATAGGAAAGACTGCTTGATGTTCTACCCAAAACACATTGGCAAGGCGTTTTAACACGTCAGACTTCGGGTGGAGCTCGTTAAAACGTGCCAGCATGTTAGGTCTCTGGATCCTATACGTGCTGGTACATATATTTGTAAGTATGCAGGAGAAGTTATTGATAAGGTAAGTCAGAATGGGGATGGAAATAATGATGAGTATGTTTTTGATGATACAAGCCGTATTTATCAAACATTCAAATGGAATTATGAACCTAGCTTAATGATAGAGGTAAGTTCACAAAACTCTAGTGAGGATTATGCCATACCATCTCCTCTAACTATAAGTGCCAAGAGTCTTGGAAATGTGGCTAGATTCATGAATCATAGTTGCTCCCCAAATGTTTTCTGGCAGCCAATCTTATATGAAGAAAAATATGAGTATAATCATGAATCCTTTCTTCACATTGCATTTTTTGCCCTTCGACACATACCTCCGATGACAGAGTTAACATATGATTATGGAATTACACGTTCTGGTCAAGCTGAGGGTAGTAGTGCACTCAAAGGCAAAAGGAAATGCTTGTGTGGATACACAAAATGCCGTGGTTCTTTTGGTTGACATTTTGTTTCAGTAGCTCAGAGACATGCATGATGCTGGCAAATGTATTCGTGACTAAAAGATTTTTGTGGATCTCTTGCATGTTTCCAATATCCTTAGTTATTAAGATCTGATCTTTGCATGTTACCAGCACACTTGAAGCTGTAGAAATGTTTACTCTGATAGTTCAGACAGCTAGTTTTTTTTCTGGAGTGCTAGGTACATTTTTGACAAAAACATTAAGCTTTTGTTTGGGAAATTAGAAAGTAGAGGAGACAAAATTTAGTAATGTATGAGAATGAATGGATCAAGTTTCCTTGTTAATTTTAATTTCTCCCATTTTCTTTATACTGATTCCTAGCACTCTCTTCTTACAGTCCCTCTCCCACATTCGGCTTATCAATGACCTTAAATTTCTCCTTTTTCCAAGTATTTCTTCTTAGATGATTTGCATGTTGACCTGTTTTATCATTCCATTGTTGAAAATATATTTATTTGTTATAATGAGGTAGTGTAAATAGGATAAAGTTTTCAATTGAAAGTAAATGATGTTTTTGTGGGAAAAGACTTAAATATAGGGTAGTAAGAGTGCTAGGGAGTGCTAGAAAATATATTTAAGTTTTCTTTATCTTAAAAATAAATAAATTTATATTTTTATTACAAGCTATATAAATCTTCCAAATTTAAAATGCCAGCATGATTGGAAGTTTGATACCAAATTTTATTTTTCAAATTCCAAACTTGTAGTTTCTGGTTCCTCAATTTTTATATAAAACTTTCACAATCTTAATATTTCCTACAACTACAGCTCATAAGACGGAGTAAGGGTCGACCCAAAACTTTCTTTTTGAAAAATTATGAGATTCATTAATGATATAATATCTCATTATCAGATAATTTCATAGATAACTCATCAAAATTACTCAGTTAATTCCCTCGTAATCTTTTATAGTTGATTATTACCCTAAATCATGTAGGGCTGGCAATATGGGCTAGCCCGCCCCGGCCCGCCACTAGCCCGCCCAAAATGGGCTGGCCCGCCCCGGCCCGTCTTGACAAAATGGGTTGAATTGAGTAACCCGGCCCGTTTTATGAGTGGGCTGGCGAGCTACGAGCCAGCCCGCCTAAAATAAAAAAATTAAATTTTACATAAAATCACATAAAAAAATCTGCATAAAAGCATACAAAAATCTGCATAAAATCCTAATGTGCTTATAAAACTAAGAAGATCAGTGTTTAATAATCTGCATATAAATATGCATCTTTCAATCCAAAAATAATAATAAAAAAATAAAATCATATCAGGATAAAATAGAGTAACAAAACAAGTAACAAAGTATTGTATGAGCAGTCCACAACAATTCAAAAAAGCCACTTACATGCAGAGAAATCTAAGATACGGAGCTACATAACAATTGGGTAACCTAAAAAAAAAAAAAAAAAAAGGACTTGGCGGGCTGACCCATATGGGCTTGCGGGTTTGGCGGGGCGGGTTTGGCGGGGCGGGTTTGGCGGACTGGTGGGTTGAAAGACTCAACCCAGCCCGCCCCATTTGGCAGGCGGGGCGGGCCAGCCCGGCGGGCTCAGCCCATTTTGCCGGCCCTAAAATCATGTACTTAATTTGATTTATACCTTATTGTATCAAGATATTGTTATCCGCTCATGAATGAATCGATACCCCTAAATGTAACGTGCGTATCCCAAATTACTGAAATTAGGATCACTGAACAGAATTTCTCATTCCTAAAAAATAATAGAAAACGATCAATTTTAAAATCTTGTAGCTCATTTTTCCTCAGCTATTACTTCGAAGGCCTTAACCATATACATATACTCTTTAGCTTTATGTGCCCAAGAGCTTTGTACCTTATTTAGAATGTATGTATTCGAACTTGAGATTCAATTTCTCGTTACACAGTAGCGAACGTTTTCAATAGTAAGTAACATACTTCCATAAACTTAGCCGAAAGAAATTTATAAAAGGCCATGAAATAGAATCATGAATCCACTAAGAGAAGTACAATTAACATCCGGTATTTTTTTCTTTCCACTTTCCTTTCATTGCTTTCCTTTTTTCTGTCTTGTTTATTTTTAATTTTTTTGGTGTTGCTTTCTCATGTTATTTTAAATTTTTTGGTTGTTGGGGTGAGTGCTGAGTTAGCAATTGCTGCTATAAATTTAACAACACGCATCACTGGTTGCCATGATGACAAAGCTAACAATGCACCTAGCTATAATCACTGTCCCCAATAATAGACAACAGCCCGGAAATGATGCATGTCTTAAGCAAGATTAATTGCTATCAATGTAACTGATCTGTGTGTGTTTTCTTCTTTTCACTAAGGAATGGTTTGAACATCATTAGTATTCCCAGTATTTCAACTACATTCAGGACTAGGAAGACCGTATGGGTGCCTGCAATTAAATGTACAACTGTAAGTTCCTAGACAGCAAGCAAGCTAACAAAAAAATGGCATGTTCTTAATTATATTGACATCATAAGTCTAGCTAGACATAGTTTATTGGAGTACTATAACATTGTATGTACTCAAAGACAGCAAAAGAGATTAGAACAAGAGTTCACCCGTCATTCAATTCTACATTTACTTTGTTTCTCTGTACTTCAACCATATTAGATTAATAGAAATAAATGCAATATCTAAACTCACGTCCCAGGGAGTGGATTCTCCCAGTGTTAAAATTTCATATGAACTATTCGTATGAAAATTGTTTATCTTTCTCTTAATTGATATTAAATAGATGGGGTTCAAATAAAATTTATGAAAAAAATTCACATTACCATGTCATATGAGAGAATCCATTCCATGTCCCCACATATTCAAATCTGTTGTTAAACACTTTATCCTATAGAAAAAAGTTAGCTATGTTCTTTCCTATTAATGGACACCGAAATTGAAAAGAAAAACATTTAACATTTAAATTTAGATAAAGGATTTCCATCTACAGTGTGTAAAGAACCAATTCAACCCAAAAGCTTAAGCTTTTGAGTGAGACTACATTAATGGTTTTATATATCTCAACACGCCCCCTCACACGAGAGCCCACTGGGCTTGACGGGTGGAAAATGCACAGGCCCATTGATACAACCCTGCTGCCCAAGCCCAACAAGAATTACAACAAGGTCTACAAAAGGGATCAACATAGAAGAACATGGGCCACAACTAATGGGAATGGAAGCCCAACCATCACCAAGGCCATGGATGACAATGCACACATTCGGTTGCAACAGAATTAGGGAACGCGTTGCCACGTTGGCAATGCAAGAGGGGATAAGAGATCGTGGGGGAGAGGTAGCATGGGTATCTGAAATCTGAAGGAAATAGAATTGGTCCTTGGGAGAGTTACAACACCTCTCGAATGTGCTGAAGTTTGTTGTTGCTGCGTTGCTTTCTTGTTATTTCATTCGGCTTTAGTTTTGTAATTGTAATTGCCATTTTAATTCCTGCCATTAGAACGTTGTTGTTCCATTTTGCTGTAATTCTGCATTTTATTAAATATATCAGAAAAATCCAGATTCTTCTGGGCCCAAATACCTTGTGTTTCCTTTTATTATTCTCTGTTATAGTAGTGGGTTGTATCAATTGGTATCAGAGCCTGGTTAAGGATGTGACTGGATTGAACCTCCTGCCATGTGAGCCAGAGTTCTCTCCATTCGTCCCCTCATTATCTTCGTGAACATTTCCTCGCATTCGTCTAGCCATTTCGTCCAGTCGACGAATGATCTCTGCAACTCCACCTTCGCTAGCATCCACCCTTCGTAATATCTCGTCGTTTTGGATTTCACTCCTGCGTAACCTTTCTTCCATAGCCTCAATTCTATTTTCCATGTTTCTAGTTACAACCATCCCACAGAGCTCCTAGATCGGAGCTCTGATACCAATTGATACAACCCACTACTATAACAGAGAATAATAAAAGGAAACACAAGGTATTTGGGCCCAGAAGAATCTGGATTTTTCTGATATATTTAATAAAAAGCAGAATTACAGCAAAATGGAACAACAACGTTCTAATGGCAAGAATTAAAATGGCAATTACAAACCAGGCGCTTAGACATACCTTTGTTTACTGGAGAAGACGCGTACGGGTGGATTAATAAAGTTGAGAGGTATTTTTCCGTCATCGGAATGGCAGACGAAGATAAGATGACAGCGGTGATGGTGACGCTAGAAGGGGAAGCGTTGCAATGGTATCTATGGTGGGAGATAAATAATCTGCACCCAACCTGGGAATTCTTCAGACGTGAGGTGTTGAGCAGATTTAATCCAAAGGCTCTGGACAATCCTTATAGAGCTCTCTACACGCTCAAACAAAACGGAGCGGTGACGGAGTTCAGGAGTGAGTTCGAGAAGGTCATCGGTGCGTTACGGTTCGAAGATGAAGAGCTTTTGAAAAGGGCATGGCTTAATGGTGTTCGAGGCAGCATCCAGGAGGAATTGATGATGAGCCCAAACATTAGCTTATCGGAGATGATAAAATTTTCTCTGAAAATTGAGAAGAGAAATGACGCCTGGAGAGAAGAGGGGGTGAACAACGGAGGGAGATTTGGGCCAAGCAAAGGTGGCCAGGCCCAACGCACTTGGGCAAATCAGGGTTATAATAAAAGCACAGGCTGGACCGGTTCGGGTTCCTCCAATTTGGCCTTTTCGGGTAGGACCGTGGGCCACAACTCACTTAATCCAACTCACTCGAGTCCTAATTTCTCTAGGGCACAAAGTGACGAACAGCTCAAAGCTTCGACGACGAAGGGAGTCTCAGGCACAGTCAACCCGAGCGGTGGGAGCGGCCAGTCATCTGAGAGTCAGGCGAGTAATAATCGACGGCTTTCAACGGCGGAGATGAGGGAACGCCAGGCGAAAGGGCTCTGCTTCACTTGCAACGACAAGTGGAACCCGAATCATCGGTGTCCATTCAAGCACCTCCAGGTGATGATAGTCGAAGACAACGAATTCGACGAAGTGGAGGCACGTGAGCCAGAGGCGGTGGTGCTCGATGAAGCAGACACACGAGTCGGAGAAGAGGAAGTAGCACCTCAGCTCTTAATGCAATATCTTTTAGGGCTCGCTTCAAACCAAACGCTCAAAGCATGGGGTGAAATTTCGGGGGTGAGCATAGTAGTAATGATCGATTGTGGAGCATCGAGTAATTTTATAAAGCGAGCAGTGGCTGAGAAGTTGGGGCTGCTTGTCACTGACACTTAGACGTATAATGTTGAAGTGGGCGATGGTCATAACGTTTGCTGCCAGGGGGTGTGTAAGGAGGTGAGCATTCTGCTGCAAGGAACGAAGATCATCCAAGATCTTTACATCTTTGATTTGGGGAGTGCTGATGTGGTGTTGGGGTTAGAGTGGCTGACCCAGCTTGGAGAGATCAAAGCCAATTTCAAAGACTTAACTGTGAAGTTCATGCAGGGAGATAAGGAGGTTGTAATCAAGGGAGACCCAACCTTGTTTCGATCAGAGGCCTCTTTGAAATCTGTTGTCAAGGCGCTGCAAGATCAAGGCCAGGGATTTTTCCTGAAATCCGAAGAGGCAGGGGATCCGGCAAGTGAAGCTCCATGGGACACTTTAGAGGACTTACTGGTTGAGTTCAGTGATATTTTCCAGAAGAAAGGAGGGTTGCCACCAGAAAGGGTTCATGATCACGCAATCAACCTGAAGCCAGGAAGCATAGTACCCAACATTCGGCCTTACAGGTATCCACATTACCAAAAGTCTGAAATAGAAAATTTAGTGGCTGAGTTGCTTGGTGATGGATTCATTAGGCATAGCACTAGTCCATATTCCAGTCCCATGATCTTAGTAAAAAAAAAAAGATGGAAGTTGGAGGGTTTGTGTTGATTATCGAGCCCTGAATAAATTGATTGTTTCTGACAAGTTTCCTATCCCGGTTGTTGATGAGTTGTTGGACGAACTAGCAGGCTCCACTGTTTTTTTTACTTGAAATCTGGGTTCCACCAAATCCGAATGCGCGAGGAAGACATACCCAAGACGGCTTTTAGGACGCACCAAGGGCATTACGAATACTTAGTGATGCCCTTTGGCTTGACGAATGCACCTTCATCATTCCAAGCTCTTATGAATGATGTGTTGCGTCCTTTTCTGAGAAAGTTTGCTTTGGTATTTTTTGACGACATTATGATTTACAGCAAAGGGGAGGAAGAGCACTTAGAGCATCTGTGTGTGGTCTTTGAGGCTTTAAGATCTAATTCCTTGGTTTGTAATAGGAAGAAATGCAGTTTCGGTAAGAGCCATATGGAATACTTGGGGCACATTATTACTGCTCAAGGAGTGTGTGCAGATCCTGGAAAGGTGCAAGCCATGAAGGACTGGCCAACCCCAAAGAGTGTCAAGGGGTTGAGAGGATTCTTGGGATTAACTGGGTACTATAGAAGATTCGTCCAGGATTATGGAAAGATCGCAAAACCATTAACCGAGCTGCTTAAAAAAGATGCATTTAAGTGGAATGAAGAGGCAGCGAAGAGCTTTGAGGTACTGAAAGAGAAGATGAGCACCGTCCCTGTTTTAGCCTTACTTGACTTCACCAAGTTATTTACAGTGGTCACAGATGCCTCAGGGAAGGGAATTGGTGCTGTATTAATGCAAGACAACCGACCCATTGCATTCTTGAGTCAAGGTTTCTCCCTCAAGGCTCAAGGCAAGTCAATTTATGAGAAGGAACTCATGGCCATAGTGTTCGCGGTGCAAAAGTGAAAGCACTATTTGATGGGTAGGCATTTTGTCATCAAGTCCGATCAGAAAAGCTTAAGGTTCCTTACTGACCAGAAGGTGTTGAACGAAGAACAACAAAAATGGGCAGTGAAGCTATTGGGTTTTGATTTTGAGATTCAATACTACCCGGGCAAGGAAAACCATGTTGCTGATGCGTTATCTAGGCAGATGCAGTTGTCCAGTCTCACTACATTGCAATTGCCAGCATTGGAGGACTTGGAGTTGGAACTACATGAAGACAGCAAGTTGAGAGGCATCATACAAGACCTGTTACTCGACAAGGATGCTCATCAAGGCTTTACTTTGAGAGGAGGCAGGCTGTATTACAATGGGAGGTTAGTGTTATCTAAACATTCCAAGTTTATCTCCGTTCTTCTCCATGAATTTCATGATTCCAGTTTTGGGGGCCACTCTGGGTGTTTTAGAACCTATAAACGGCTTGCCGGACTAGTTTATTGGGAGGGCATGAAAAAAAATGTAAAGGATTATGTGGCTGCCTGTGTGATTTGCCAGCAGAATAAGGCACAGAATTTAACTCCAGCTGGGTTGTTACAGCCCCTGCCAATTCCAGAAAAGGTTTGGGCTGACATATCAATGGATTTCATAGGCGGATTACCTAAGGCTTTGGGGTTTGACACCATTTTTGTAGTGGTCGACCGCCTCACAAAATATGCACATTTCCTGCCCCTCAAACATCCTTATACAGCCAAGGACGTTTCTGAATTGTTCATTAAAGAAGTGGTGCGGCTTCATGGTTTCCCAGCCACCATTGTGTCTGATAGAGATAGGATCTTTATGAGCACTTTTTGGGCAGACTTGTTTAAGAGTGCAGGTACCAAGCTCCACTATAGTACCGCCTACCACCCACAAACCAATGGTCAAACAGAGGTTGTAAACAGGAGCTTGGAGGTTTATTTACGATGTTTCTGTGGGCCCAGGCCTAAACAATGGCCCTAGTGGCTCCCTTGGGCTGAATTCTGGTACAATTCCACATATAAGGATGCCACTGGGATGACACCATTTAAAGCTCTCTATGGTAGGGACCCCCCTCATTTACTTAGTAGTGATGGCTTTATTTCAGCTGTAGATGCTCTGTCTCAGTCACTGTTTGATAGGGATCAAATATTATTGGATTTGAAACATTGCCTCATCCAAGCCCAACATAAGATGGTTGTCCACGCCAACCATCATAGACGCGATGTCACATTCTCCCCAGGTGATTTAGTTTATCTTCGGCTTCAACCTTATCGCCTTAAGACAATTGCAAGACGGGTTAATGAGAAGTTAAGCCCCCGATTTTATGGTCCCTATAGTGTATTGGAAAAGGTTGGCGAGGCTGCCTACAAGCTACAGCTACCACGTGATTGTCAAGTCCATCCGGTTTTCCACGTGTCTTTGCTTAAGCCAGCTGTCAACCCAGTGCCAAATGCACAGCCTCTGCCAGCAGTGTTATCAGAAAATTGGGAGTTGGTTGTAGCGCCTGAGAAGTTGGTGAAATGGAGACTGTCATCACAGGGGGAGCTCCAAGTGCTCATCAAATGGCACCAGCTACCAGATTTCGAAAATACTTGGGAGTCTTTTGCTGTCATTAACACCCAATTTCCTCTTTTCCACCTTGAGGACAAGGTGCTTGCGTTGGGAAGGAGTATTGATACAACCCTGCTGCCCAAGCCCAACAAGAATTACAACAAGGTCTACAAAAGGGATAAACATAGAAGAACATGGGCCACAGCTAATGGGAATGGAAGCCCAACCATCACCAAGGCCATGGATGACAATGCACACATTCGGTTGCAACAGAATTAGGGAACGCGTTGCCACGTTGGCAATGCAAGAGGGGATAAGAGATCGTGGGGGGAGAGGTAGCATGGGTATATGAAATATGAAGGAAATAGAATTGGTCCTTGGGAGAGTTACAGCACCTCTCGAATGTGCTGAAGTTTGTTGTTGCTGTGTTGCTTTCTTGTTATTTCATTCGGCTTTAGTTTTGTAATTGTAATTGCCATTTTAATTCCTGCCATTAGAACGTTGTTGTTCCATTTTGCTGTAATTCTGCTTTTTATTAAATATATCAGAAAAATCCAGATTCTTCTGGGCCCAAATACCTTGTGTTTCCTTTTATTATTCTCTGTTATAGTAGTGGGTTGTATCACCCACCTACCTGTGCGAAGAAAGAAATTCCACTAGAAAGAAAGTGGGGGGCGGTGAGGATCGAACCCGGTACACCGAGGCTCTGATACCATGTAAAGAACCAATTCAATCCAAAAGCTTAAGCTTTTGAGTGAGGCTACATTAATGGTTTTATATATCTCAACAGTGCATAGAAATGAGCATAATTAGTTGAGCATCGTACCTGGGAGGAAAGAAGCATCCATCCGCTTTTGTGACCAAGTTAATCTGCATTGACCAAGAAAATAATAAGAAAATTGACGATAATTTTCAATATATCATAGTTGCAGTCAGAAAGCATGTAGATCAAAACTTCTACTAATAAATAATTTTCAACTGCAAATGGATCAAAGTAGAGTGAGAGTAATCTCTATTAACTCTTTACTGACAAAGCACAAGATACATTGACACAAAACTTAGCTACCAACATATTTCAATCTCGTCAGCAAATAGTCAGGTTTGAAAGGACCATATGAAAAAGAAACTTAGCATGAAGTTTTAGACACGGATGAATTAGATTAATCTATATTATATATCATGTGTAAAACCTGTACATTAATATGCAAGTTTTATAGCATGTATCATTTGTGATATTAATCCCTTGTACAGATCTACATTTCTATTTTTGAACTACGACAGGTAAGTTGAACAAAAGCTGAAGAAATCATAAGAACACTCACACTGCACCACCTGCAGCAGGGCCAATAGCTTTGAATAGAGACATAGCTGTCATAGCAATGCCATTAGCTGCCCCCCTTTGGTGTTGCTCCTGTTTTCCAAATCAACACGTCATATATGCTACAGTCCATCAAAAACTAATCTCAAACTTTGTAAGGAAACAAAAGATAATGAAATTATCCAAAAATTTACCACTGCTCTGTTTTGCATAAGGAATAAACCAGTTGTAATTGTCAACTAAGTCCAGCAAAAAAGAATACAATCAGTCAAATTTGTATTATAGAGAACCTTTTCTAAATCAATTAAATTGATCTAGTGAATACAAATTCAATTCAATTTAAATCCTCAATATCACTCATGACTGGCTAAATAAATAAAGAGGTGCACTTACTGACAGAATATTCTTCAGAATAGAAGCAATACTTATCACTATGTATAGTGTTAAGCCTGACAACATTGCTATGAAGGGGTAACTTTGTAAAAGTGGTACGGAAAACACCTGCATATGTAACCAAAGTAAGAAGACATATTTTAAATAACGAACAATGAAATGCTGAATTGCAATAATTGCCACAATTAGGTGAAAACTGACCCCAGAGATGCGGGCAATGGTAATAGGTCCACAAGCTTTTTCCACATATGGGTATATGGTAAGTTGGTAGATCATAAGTGCAAAACCTGACCATATGAGAAGCCAGAAATTATACAAAATATATATAACAATGTAATAGGAATATAAAGATCAACACTGAATATAAAATTATATATCTTTGACACTATGAAAACCCAGCGCAATAAGCAATTTTGATATAGGTATAGAACCAAAGGAATAAATGTAATACAGTTCCAAGTGGTATTATATTGTCAATACTCTTTCAAACTGATTAAATTCTGAATTATGTAGTATACATGCCTATTTTATCTGTTTCCTTTTTCTACATAAAAAGATAAAAGAACCGTTCGACCAAAGTTATAGCATCCCGGAGTATTTTAAATAGAAAGTTAGGCAAGAAAAAATAATAAATAAGCCTGAATAAATATACAATCATATAAAGTTCCGTTTATCCGACCAACATACAATGGAAACGGCAACTTTTTGAGATCAAAGTAGTTTTTACCATAGAAAAGTACTGACTAATCTAGATTTGAGCATAAAAAGATATGATATTCGAGACATATGGCATGTGACATCAAAATACACATGTAATGTTACAAAGCCACATTTCAGAATATGATCAAATGCATAAAATTTATGCGAAATCTTTATGGATGGAAAGTTAGCAAAGAAACATATCCTCAACATTAATAAACATCTATTATAGGTTCCAAAGATGCACCTGATACTGCAAGAACATTACCAACATCATCAGTTGTAAATTTCAAACCCCCCAGCCTCATAGGACTGACAGCCCATAACGAGAAAACCTAAAGAAGGAAAGATGGATGTACAGATAAAAAGAAGCATGAAAATCCATACAGCATATATTAAGTAGATGCATAGACCATTTTTAACCTCATTAAGTAGAAATCATACCTCTTGATAAGCGACATCATGAAGTGCAAAAACAGAATAAACAAGGATAGCTGACATTAAGGGCCAATTTAGGAGGAGGTTTTCATTCTTTTGGATTATCTTGCCTTCGCCAGCCTCGCAGCTTCCATTCTCTAAAGCTTCGGTGTCATCTGTGGACTCATTGCTATCATTGTGGTTGTGAAGTGTTTCCTGCAGGTATTTTAAACAATTATATTGATGAAGGAGACAGACAATACTGTGAAAACAGTGAAGACAAAGCAGTGCTGAGCTCAAAAAATCATACAAAATGATGCAATGTTACATTATAAATTGGCATCATAAAAATGTTAAAGTAAAAACCACAAAATATAAAGAAGATAGAAATATTTCTATTTACTGAACAGATATTTTAAAACATAAGATACATACCGGAATCCAGATACATGCAATAGCTACTGATAATGCAATTCCTGATATTATAAAGCACGGCAAGAAGTATGGAAACCTGCAGGACGATTATTATGTTTTTGACAAATGAAAATCCGCACCTCATTAAAGGATAGAACGATAGAAAGACAAAGATGGGAGCCAAATTTGGATCCTTAAGTTTTATAAAATTAAAAAGCAGGAAAAGTCCACTTACTTATCCCAAAAAGAATCATTTGGAAATATACGCGGATATTTCTCTACTGGCTGCAATACAAAATTTCACAAAGTATTAGAGAAACAAGTAACAAATGTGCACATGAATGTATGCCACTACCCGCGCGCGCACGCACACACACAAAGTGAGAGAGGGAGAGAGAACTTAAAGTCACAAAGTGTAAAAACATTCAAAAGGACCATTTATTTTAAATATGGCAGATGGATTTAAAAAATCTATCCTTTCTAATACTCAATTAAATACAGAATTTCAGGCATCAGCCTTCTCAATATACCAGAGGTCTTTCAAAACAAGTCAACTTAAGTCCATATACAAAATTCAAGGCTTTTCACAAGATGAATATTATACTTCAGAGGGCAAAGAATAAAAATAACCTGAGCCAAATAGCCTCCCAATGCTGGACCAATGATTAAACCTATGCCCCAAGCTGCACTGACCTAAAAGCAGATCACACTTTGAATTATCATGATGGAAATGCAGTTCTAAGAACTGAGAGTAGACAAGAGTTGATGAGGCTTACAGTTGAGAGTCCTAGAGCTTGGTGTTCTTCTCGAAAAAGTTCAGTAGCATAGGCCTGTTAAATAGAGGAGTTTGTCAAATACATATATAAATGGAAATTTGTAATTTTGTGTCAGATTGAACATGTATACAAGTGCAAACGTTCTGAAAATGTATGCTGGTGCTAGTGGATGAAACATTAAATTGCTAATTATATTAGATGTAAAAAAAGTGTTACCTTTACTGGTCCAAGCACACCATTCAAACATCCGAGAAAAAATCTCGTGATAACAGCCATCCAAAAACTTGTGCTAAGGCCAAATAGTGTGTTGAAAATGACACTGAAATCAAGTAAACATTGATAATTATGGGAAACCGCACAACAGAGCTTAAAGAAAGCATCCAATTCATTCCCAGAGATACCTACACTGAGATAACCCCTATAATTATAACAGGTTTTCGGCCATAGCGATCAGCTACAATTCCCCAAAATATAGATGTCAAAGATCTGCCGAGCATGAATGCAGATCCTACAATATTTTCAATCATACACGCATCACCAATAAAGAACATATAACAATGATAAAAGATTTCAAAGAATGGAAATACTAAAAATAATCTTACCCACATAACCAGCGTAAGAACCAATATCAGCTTCTGTCTTTGCAATATTAAAATCCCTTACCTGAAAATAATTGTTGCATAATTGAGGATGATATACTATGTGCATCAGTAAGTTAAACATTAACCATTATTTGATTTCTTGCTATTTCATAACAAATGAGAAAGCACAAAGGAAAGCAATAAGCAATTAGAAATAGACAACGGCACATCCCATAGTTTGCAATTATCAGTCACACTGCAAAGTTATTCAGTTAAGCAGGAACAAAAATTGGTACTTTGAAGAAAAATAATGAAGGGTAATTTGCATATTGAAGAAAATCTTCTGATTACTGCCTCAGAGAGGATTGGCTTTTGATTGGAGTGAACTTTATGCATTTCTTGATACAGTAATTAGTTGTTTGCAAGCCTAAATTGCAATTTGGTAAAATGGGTCTCATTGGAGGAGTGAAATTCATTCACATTAGCCAAGGTACTCAAAGACACACTTTCCATTAATAAAAATTTCTTTCTAAATTCAACACCTCCCTTTAAAATAGCTCAAATACATCCCTTCCATATATAAATTATTCATGGCCATTAATTTTCCAAGAAACAAAGTACTAGTTTGAGTTAGTAGTAGCGGGAACCACCAACAGGGAGAGGACTTCCTTCTTAAACAATTTTTAATTCCTTTAAGAATGGAACAAAGATTTTAAAGCATATGTTTATCCAAGTACAGTAAACCAGCATTATGGAACCAATTATTTATATTTAGAACAAAATGATGATCAAACAGTGACTTGATGCTCAAATTCATTTTTTAAAATACCCAAAATGATTAGGAAAAAGATCAGCATGAAGAAAAATAATTATAATTAATTGAACCAACGATGTATTAGTTTCCATTCCATCAGGAAGTAATTGGCAGTCACTTTCAAAAAAATAACATGAAGATTAAAAATAGTATGCCCTTCTTATCTACATTTTTAATTATAAATATAAAATAAAATAAAAACTCAAACTGAACTTGAAACACTCCAAATAAAACAAATAAATCGTCCTCCATATGTGTTCAGGCAACTACCAAGAAATAACAATGTCATAAAATCAGACTATGCATCATATGGAAGGTGACAATAAACCCTCGTAGATAGTTAAACTCACCATGAAATAAAGAAATGGAAAGAGAGATGATATAGGCAGCGCTGTAGAGGACAAAATAAAGAGACATCATAGAAGGACAAATTAGTTTTTCATGCAACAGAGGAAGACAAGGTTAATTGATGGAATCAAACACTGAATTTTACATCAAATTATTAAGATTGAGAATCCCATAAAAACATTTAACTTTAATTTTCTCACACCACCAATATAGGATGAACTCCTTTTTTGAGCTAAGGTACATGATTTGAGACATTCAAGAGAAAGATAAAACCAAAATATGAATTCAACCAGTCACCACTAAGGAGTGACTTTTTTCTGATTTTCTCCAAGAGAGTGGGAAAAAATTATGAACTGAGGTTAGGAAAACTTCCCAACAGAATGGTCAACTTGAAAAGTTCTAGTATTGCAGCTTTAGCAGAAAAGATTAACTCTTAAAGAGTTATAGAAACATGTCAGCTTTTTATGCAGTCATAAAAAGGGGAGGGGGGGACTAGTTTCAGTTTTGGCAATTCTAGGAAATAGCAATCTATGTAAGCAACTATTTCTGTTTGATGAAAAATAAATGAGTTGTTCAAAGGGTAGGTCCACCGACACCACAAATTAAGGATTCTAAGCATACACTAATAATGGTTAGAAGGGTATAATCAGCATACTTGGCACTCACAAATACCCCAAAGTTAGTTCTAAACGACAGAATTGGAACAATCAAATTGTCCAGAAGTGAAAATAGAGTTCAATGCTTACTTGCACATAACACCACCATCCAAATAATCAAAAGATTTCGAATGGATACACTCTGGTTCAGTTCTTTGGCTTGTTCCACCTTACAACCAGGGCAGTCCTTATAGTACTGCTTCTCCAACAATGGCTGTCTGATTTTCTCTTCTCCCATGTTTGCAAGAGAACTCAACTTCTTGTTTCACGCAGGTCCTTCTTTCCTATGTCATTTTATATGCAGCATAAATAATACTAATATAATTATAATAATAGGGTTTTAGGAGAATAATGTAACATGATATAAGAAAATTTTCCTACCCTCGTAATAAAGAAGAGAGAGAAAGTGGAATGATGAAAGAAAAAAAAATCATGTGGACCCCACCTTTTAATTGTATGTGTAGGAAAGTTTTGTTAAGTTATATAACATGATACTAATAAAACTCATAATAATAATAATAATATAATCAGAAAAAAGAGACAACAACTATCAAAGGCGGCAATGCTTTAGCCACATATTTTTTAAATGTTTTTGAAGCACGAAAAGAAAAAGCCAAAGGTCAAGCAAACATACACACAGCACGTGGAGAAAAGCTTTGGTGTGTGAGAATGGGAAGTGTGTTAAAATTTTATATCATCTTATCTTGTGAAATTTTTGTGTTTTTTTTTTTCTCTTCAAATGTATTAAATAGGTGAAATTTAATTATTATTAATAAAGAAAAAAATAAACATAAAAATTTCACATAACTTGATCATGTAAATTGGGATACACCACCCCAAAAGCTAGCTCAGAGGGTGGGAGTGTCCAAGGCCTTATAAACTCCATATTAGTTACACATAGAACTAATGTGTGACTATATATCTCAACACATCCTCTCACACAAGAGCTCATTGGGCTTGAAGAGTGGACAATGCAACAGGCCCAGCCTACCTGTGCTAAGAAATCCCACAAGAGAAAGTGGGGGCGGCGAGGGTCTGATATCACGTAAAGAACCTTGGATACACCACCCAAAAGCTAGCTCAAAGGGTGGGAGTGTCCAAAGTCTTATAAACTCTACATTAGTTGCACATACAACCAATGTGCGACTATATATCTCAACATGTCAACTCTCTCTTCTCTTTTATCTATCTCTTTCTCTCTCTTAAAATGACACAAATTTACATCCTTTACAATGACACACATTTTTTCCAAAATTTTAACATCAAAATATTAGTTCATCTGAATGAAATGAAATGAACAACACAAAAGCGTGGTCTCACACGTTATATGCAACAAGACAAATGTTTTTTTGCAAGTGGCATTATTGCACACATCACACGATTAAAAGCGGCGAGAAAGTCCAACTCATATATTTTTTTTTTTGAATAACAAGTCCAACTCATATTTAGGAATAAAGTACAACGACATAAAAAAAATGAGAATAAAAAAACAAAAAAAAAGCGTCTTTATCAAGAGAACAAGTAAAATTAAAAATAATAACGACGAGGAATATTGGAGGCAGCAGCAAACACGGTCGAGGATTTACCAAAATAAGCAAATAAATAATTTGGAAGTTGAAAGATGGTATTTACATTATTTTAATTTTTTAAAAATTATATAAATTACTTCTGAATATTATTAAACTAACACAAATAGACCACCAAATTATGTCGTTTTATGAAAGACAAATGACTTTTAGCAAAGGGCCAAATGCTACAAACGCCGGACAGAGTTTAAAACTGGGTCCGGCCATCTCTTATGAACATCTGACAAACTCAGTGCGGGTTGTTAACTGTATTAAATTTAGTTGGTAAATATTAATTGAACAATAATTGATTATTGGCAAAATCATTTTACACATGTAATTTAATTTATATTAAGTATATTTATATATCTATGTTTGATGTTTGTCATTTTAAATGATTTGAGTTATGTTATTTTAAGTGAGAGATAGACACAAGAAATGAAATCATGGGAAGAAAGTGAGTGATTTTTTTTAAATTTAAATTTTGAATAAAAATATTATTTTGTATCTCTCTCTTGAAATAATATAATTTTATGTCATTTAAAATAAGAAACAATTTTTTCTATATATTTGTATAAGAATAATTAAATATAAATATAAATAAATATAAAATGATATCATTAAAAGCAAGCTGATAGATGGTATAAGACTTATTAATTAAACTTTATTACATGCAAATATCTATTAAGAAATCAATAAATAACAAAAAATAAAAACTAAACTTTATTAATATTTAAATAACAATCATAATAAGTACTAGAAAACGTGTGTGGCTGAGCATAAAAGTCGAAATTGAATACGAAGTCAGACGACAAAGACGAAACAAGATACATCATTCATTGAGCCGAAAAATTAAGTAACTAGGTATATTTTATTATAAGCACACGTTGTATTTACAAATTTTGTATTTATAATTTTTTTTTGGAAGAACACTAATTTTATTATGTTCTCTCGAGAGAAGATAGTGTAATTTGTAAAAATTTATTAAAATAAATTTGTAAATAGATATTTCTCCTTTATTATAAATACTTAAATTAATTAGTATTGAAAAGATTTTTTTTTGTGAAAATGATTTTTTAATATGTCTCTGTTTAAGATTTTAATTAATAATAAATTTAAGTATTTATACTAGGTCAACGTTATTTAAGAATTTTTCTATTATCAATGTCACTGTTTTTAAATATCTGTACAACGAATCCACAGAAATAACCGAATCTGATTTATCAGCTTAAAATTTAAGCTCGGCAAAGCAGCATCTTTTTAATCCACTATCAAACCTCAGTAATTCAGTATTAATTTTCAAATACTTAGAAATTATTAATTGTTACGGTATACAATAAAATATTTTTAAGCCAACTATCTTTGAGAGTTTGCGTTAAGATATTTTAATTTTTTTAATTCAGTTAACAAAACAAATGAAATGTACTATATAAGAAATAAAATATTTAATATTTTTTATAAGAGAATGTTATATTTACAATTTTTTTTACAATCATATCTTAGCACCGTTAATTTCCATCAATCAACGGTTATTATTTTCACAAATTAAACTCATTAATTAATTATTAATTCACAATAAATGATAATCGTTAATTGACGAAAATCAACGGTATTAAGATATAGTTATAAGAAGTTGTAAAAAAAGAAATTGTAAATATAATCTTCCTCTTTTTATAAATAATAAATTATGTAATAAGCATTATTTAAAATTTCTCAATTAATATTTTTTTTTTGGTACATTCTCAATTAATATTTTAAGTTACTCGTTAATAAGATTTACTTATTCAAATTTTAGTTAAGTGCTTAAATTACTATCAATCAATTAAACTTTTTGTTACCGACATGCTTTAAAACCTTCATCATTATTATCACTATTGAAAAGAATATATGAATAGATGATTTACCTTGTACTCTGGGTCCCACTTGTTAATTGGTTCTTCTTTGGAGTTACCACGCACGCAGCTGGTGCAAGGAAGTCGAGAAAGCAAGGCATATAAAAGTCCGGTAATACTTTTCTTATGTTACATAAATATTATCTCCTATACGAATAAATTTTTAGTGTTATTGTTGTACTGAGATTCATAAATATTACACATTACAGGAGAGAGAAAATTTTGGCAAAGAAAAAAAAACTTTAGCTGACATGTAATATTTTTATTGGTGAGATGTACTGAATCTTTGGTGCAATAATAGCACCAAAGATTTATTCTTCCTACACTCATATTTTTCAAATGGGTCTCACAAGAATTTTTCTCTCTCACCTCCAACTATTTTCTCTCTCTTTTTTATTGTTTGAGTAGAAAATAATATTTTTCTTATGCGACAAAAGAAAAGTATTACCCATAAAAGTGTTTTTGGATTAATATTCTCAGAAATATTATCATTAGGAATATTATTTTGAGATGTTTTAAAAATTATTTGTTAGTATTTAATTTTTTTCTTAAAATAATTAAAATACGAGCTTTATTACTCGCATTTCAAGCATTTCACAGCAGAGAATAAATTTTTGCAACTTACTCATCTTATAAGTGTAGCCCACAAAATAATAAAGAGATAAAAAAATTCAAGATGAGGCCCATCAAATATTATATCCAAGGGAATGGTCAACTTTCAACAACGAAAGGAGAAAACAATTCTCCTTAAAATATTTATTCGTTTCATAATTCTAATTATCAAAATGCTCTTAATATAAAGAATATTTTTAAATATTTTTCAATGACGAAAATAAAAATAAGAAATTAAGGTGATTGTACAATTCTATGGATTAGTTTTAACAATTACCATAAAGTATTAAATATGAAAAATCATAATCATACAAAGATGGAAATAAATATAACCGTTGGATCAACATCAATTTAACGATGGAATTGATTGGTAGTAACATTAGTAGTAATACTATTAAATATCTAATAGGCTTAAATAGGCTAACAGGCCTAAGCCACAATTTTTGTTTTTTAAATATAGATCAAACCAAATTTATAATTTGATCTTACACAGATTAACAAATCAAGTTATGACTAAAATATTTTACACAGATCTAATTTATTTAAGTTAAAACCTAATCCGACCTAGCTCATTTATACCCACGTTAATATCAAAGATGTTCTCCTCATTCAGGTTGTGTCACGCAAATAACTTTTTTTTGTTACAAATACGCAAAGAATTTCGATCCCTGCATTTTCAAATTTGACGGCTAACAAGCATTCACAGTATTTAAATTTATTTTTACTTACAATATAAAAAATATTATCGGATGAGATCATGCACAACATAAAGTAAGAAATCGGATTTTGTTGGCTAGCGAGTTGATGTAGCAGGCTTCTGCTTTTTTTTTTTTTTTGGTAAACCAGCATTCTTCTTCTTTGAAGGATCAAACCTTAGTAATTCATTACTGATTTTCAATCGCTTAGTAATTATCAATTATTATGGTTAAACGATAAAAATATATTTAAGCCAATTTTATAGCAAGTTTCGATCAACAAGTGTTCTTAAATTCTGAGTAAAATATAGCAAGTTTCGACCAACAATTTTATAGCAAAATAAATAAAAAGTATTAAGTAAGAAGTAAAATATTTAAGAGGAAAATATTTCTGTTTTTCTATAGATATTTTTTGTTCGTCACATTCATATAAAAGTAAGTGAGTTCCATTATAAAGAAAAAAGAAGATAAAAATAATTAGTGAAAT